TGACAGCAAGTTTTTCCTAATGTCCAATCTAAACCTCCCTTGCTGCAGTTTAAGTCCATTGCTTAATTATGTTAATATCAGGTCACCAGGTTACTAACAATGACAGTCACTGTCCACAATGAGTTTAGCCTTGTATTTACAAACTTGTATTTTAATCTCATGTAATTTCCAAGAGTACAAAAGGCCTAGCAGGATATTCCATTATTTGCCCCCATTGTAGATTTTGCAGTTTTGTACAACCATAATGCAATCATTGCAAGAAAGCCTATATGAAGAAAAATAAAAGATCAGGCAAACTTGTTATGGCAGTATTTCAAATGCTCTCTGCTACCTACAGTGGTCCAAAGATGATTGGGGTGGGTGTGGGGGAGTTTTTAAAAGCAAAACAATACATAGATGTTCTTAAATAATGGAATAAATTAAAGGTTGAAAGACAGAGCAATATGGAAACGGTAACTGTCAGAAGCATGTTAAGGTATGTCTACACTGCAATAAAACATATGTGGATAGTCCATGCTGCTGCAGAACATTCCAATGACGTGTAGACACCTGGGCCTGGTCTACACTAGACCATGCAGGTTGGCTTAAGGTACACCATCCTGCTATGCAAAATGCGTAGCTGGATTCAACTTCCCTTAAGCCAAAACACCAGTGTCTACATTACAGGAGGCCAACAGTAGCTGGCTTCTCTTACTCCTTGTAGAATGAGGAGTCCAGGATGCCGGTGGAGTCTGCTCTCCGTGTTCGATTTAAGAGTCTACATTAGTAAAATGAACGCTAGAAGATCAGCCTCTGGAGGGCTGCACTGAACTTTAATAGCTCCACAGCCTTTGACAGCTGACAGGCCAGCCACAGGTGTTTTATTGCAGTGTTTAACCCCAAAATGCTTGAGTGTTTAACCCCAAAATGCTTATCTGAGGAAACACTCTTACTTATTTTAAACCAGAATTAAAAAGGCATTTTAAATCTTGTAACTAAGAATTTGTAGGTATTGAACAAAAAATATTTTTTTCCACATGGTGTAGGAGTTCTTCTGATAGATATCCTTTATAAACTTGAAAAACAAATAACATTTCTGTTTCCATATGAATGAGTAATTTAAAAAATGACACTAGATTTACACATAATTATGAATGATCACAAAGATGTTGTGACAAGAATTAGTGTGCAAAAATAACTTACTTGCATGAAGATTGCCATATTCTTATATAGCATTACAATAAATAAGTTTTTAAAAGGCAAAAACTGGACTCATTGGTACACCTGTACTGATATAAAGAGATGAAAAAATGCTGAAAGATTTACAAGAAAAAAAGACAATTTCTCTATAAAAATATGATTGGCTGAATAATGCATCATGAGTCATCACAATAAACCCTTTTAAAGGGCTATTACTGACTTTTCTCGCCGTCTTATGAATACTAGCAAATAAACCCAAGACGACTTCTAATACGTTTATACATTACTGACATTTTCCAGGTATTTTTACGAGTAACTTAAAAACTGCAGGAAAGATACTGTGACGGCTTCTAGTTCGGGCGCGAGCACGTAACCCTCCCATGCCGGGGTTACGGCCCTGCAAGCCCGCCGTCTTTAAGCTATTCCGTCTGTGGCGGTGTGACGGCTTTTAGTTCAGGTGCGAGCGCGTAACCCTCCCATGTTGGGGTTACGGCCCTGCAAGCCCACGTATGTTTAGGTTCCAGTGGGTATCGCTCGGCAGAACCAAGGAAGTGAGGGAGGGGGAATGGGTGTATAGGGGGACCTGGGCCCTCCCTCTCCACCGGGTCCCAGCCCGGGGCCCTACGGGTTTGGGTCTTTAGCCCTCACCCGGCAGACGGGGTCCCACCTTGTAACGCATAAGCCCACGGGCGCCAGTACAGCCCTGCCCCAGGCTGCTTCCTAGCCTCCCCTACCCCGGTCTGGTGGGACCGCGGTCTCTCGGCCCTTACCTCCCCAGCAGTGGCCGGTGTCAGCCTGCCTGCGACCTCCTGGGACTTTTCAGTTTAGAAAAGAGGAGACTAAGGGGGGATATGATAGATGTCTATAAAATCATGAGTGGTGTGGAGAGGGCCGATAAAGAAAAGTTATTTATTAGTTCCCTAAATAGAAGAACTAGAGGACACCAAATGAAATGAATGGGGAGCAGGTTTAAAAGTAATAAAAGAAAGTTCTTCTTCACACAGCGTGCAGTCAACCTATGGAACTCCTTGCCAGAGGAGGCTGTGAAGGCTAGGACTATAATAGAGTTTAAAGAGAAGCTAGATAATTTCATGGAGATTAGGTCCATAAAAGGCTATCAGCCAGGGGATAAAATGGTGTCCTTGGCCTCTGTCTGTCAGAGGCTGGAGAAGGATGGCAGGAGACAAATCACTTGATCATTGTCTTCGGTCCACCCTCTGTGGGGCACCTGGTGCTGGCCACTGTCGGTAGACAGGATACTGGGCTAGATGGACCTTTGGTCTGACCCAGTACGGCCATTCTTATGTTCTCCTCCGGCATTCGTGTCTTGCTCCTCAGCCGGGGCGGAGGGATCACCCTCTTGGTGTCTTCCCCCCTGCTCTGGCCCCAGTCCCAGCTTTAAATGGCCCACCGGGGCTCACATCTCCGGCGTCCGCCCCGCCCCCGGCGTTGCCGGCCCTCCTATGTTGTGGCGTAGGAGGCGGGGCTGCGTTCCGGCTTTCCCCGCCCCTGGCATGCTCGGGTTTGCCAGCACGGCCGGGAAACGCCGCCTGCTCCTGCCTTGCACTGGGAATGTAGCATCCCAGCGGGGACTCCGCAGAGGCGTGCCTCCCGGGTTTTCTGGGGGGCTCATAGCCACAGGTCCCCCCCCCCCCCCGAGTGCGGGCCGGGGTTGGACCGTCACAGATACCCCTAACAGAACCAGAACTGCTTATCTTTGGCAGGTCACAACTCTCACCTTCAAGATACAGGTTGAACCTCATTCGTCGGGCATCCCTGCGATCTGAGGAGTACTGAGCCAGAGAATTTGCTGGACCACGGGAGGTCAATATTGTCTAGTAGCATTACCAACACTTCCACTGCGAATCCTATAACGCTGACCCCACGCATGACATTTTATTGTAATATTCTGCAAGGTGCTCAGAGTGATGAACTTGCCAAATGGGGTTTGATTTATATTTTTTATATTGCCCTGTTCATGCATATTTTTTCTTCTGAATTTCTGATAAATCAAGTGAATGATTTGCCTGCACCTGCCATCTCAGGACCTCATTTGCCATTAGAAGTATATTAACTATTTATGTCCCTAATAGCATATCATGTAGGAGAAACTGACATGTGACAAATTTAAAAACATACAAAGCATAAATACACCCTGAAGCAGATTGCTCTATTGATGCAAAATCACAACGGGGGATTTAAATAGGATGCAAGTGGCTTTACAAGTGCAATCTGTCACTTCAATGTTTTCCCTCCTTGACTGGCCTAATCATATTCTACAAAGCAGAAACCAGGATACAACAGAGCAAAACAAAAACTGAAGTGGAAAATGTATTTTATTCGTAACAGAAAAATCAAAATGACTAGCCATTGTTATATTGACAAATTATCATGGAAGTATGCAATAGAGCTCCAAAATACATAGGTGGAAAATGCAACATGGCAACTTCTGCCTTTAAATGAATACTCAATCTAAAATACTGAGGAAAAGTAGAATGAGGCCTAGAATAGTTGATGAATGATCTTAACCCCCACAGATATCCCATATTTCACAGGAGATGTTTAGCATCTTACAGTACCCGTCAGAACAGTATTGGACATGACAGAATATATAAAGGAAGTGTGACTTCTGGAATCCCAGGGATTTAAAAGAAGCTCTTTGCAACTATAATCTCTCTCTAAACCTGCTCCTCTTACGGTGCATCTACACAGCACCCTTACATCGAAATAAGCTACACAATTTGCACTGTGCAAACTGCATAGCTTATTTTGATGTTATTTCGAAATAGTTTATTTAGAAATGTCCTTTATCTCTCGTGCAATGAGATTTACAGGGATGTCGGAATATATATACAGGCAGTCCCCGAGTTACGCGGATCCGACTTACGTCGAATCCGCAGTTACGAACGGTGCCGTTCCTCTCCCTGGTCTCCAGCAGACCAGGGAGAGGAAGCAAAGCGGCGGAACACATGGGCAGCGGACAGGGTTGTCCGCTGCCCATGTGCTCCGCGGCTTGGCTCTGCTTTGCCCCCCCCCCGTCCCCCTGGTCTGCAGACCAGGGGAACGGGGGGGGCAAAGCAGAGCAAAGCCGCGGAGCATGCGGGCAGCGGACAGCCCAGACGCGTCTGGGCTGGCCCGCCGCCCCCC